GAACCCGTTCAACTGTGCACCGAAACCCAGCCTACCCGTAAACAACTGATCCAGCACTGGGTTGTAGATTACACCGAACTGGACGGTTTTGAGAACGGTGAAACCGATAACGATGCAGGTGTGGGGGTAACAGTGCACAAAGTTCATTGTACCGTCTATTGGGTCAACAATCCAGGTGGGTCTGTCATCAAATACTATCTTACCTGAGAGTGCAAACTAGTTCAATTTAATAACTTAATAACAACTTTAAAATAACTCAATTTAATAACTTGGACAACCAGTACTAAAGCTTTAAGGGGGCCGGGGGGGGTCTTCATCAAAATTCTCTCGAAATCGACTTTATAGTTGTTTCTGATAGAGGGGAGTGATATCTATCATATGCTTTTGGTCCCATGGAAAAATATTGTTCCTAGCCGAAATTATCGCCTGTCTAAGGTCAGCGCTTATGTGTAATTGTATTGCGCGAGCGATTTCCAATCGCAAATTCTGAAAATCGAGTCTAAAAATCTATCTTCTCTCACATTTTTTGAGCAATCACCCTGAAACTTTCAGGATATGTTCTAGGGACCATTTAGAAGAGAATGATCATACAAAATTTTGAGATAGGCCTTTAAAAATTTTTTATTCAATTTTGAAAATCTTGGACCTCAAAAAATCGTAAAAAAACAAGGTCCAAGATTTTCAAAATTGAATAAAAAATTTTTAAAGGCCTATCTCAAAATTTTGTATGACCATTCTCTTCTAAATGGTCCCTAGAACATATCCTGAAAGTTTTGGGGTGATTGCTCAAAAAATGTGGGAGAAGATAGATTTTTAGACTCGATTTTCAGAATTTGCGATTGAAAATCGCTCGCGCAATACAATTACACATAAGCGCTGACCTTAGACCGGCGATAATTTCGGCTAGGAACAATATTTTTCCATGGGACCAAAAGCATCTGATAGATATCACTCCTCTCTATCAGAAACAACTATAAAGTCGATTTCGAGATAATTTTGATGAAGACCCCCCCGGCCCCCTTAACATAATTCCAGAGTTCCAGTAATAAGGAATTTAAAATACTAAGAGGTATTTATTTACCGTCAGCAGAGACTGTTTCCTCTCCGATAAAGCCATGTTCAGGATATTTCTCTTTAACCTTGCTACTTATTAGATCTTCTATAGCTTTGTCGGTTTCTGCGGGAGAGGTAATAATATAATTGTGTAATTAATTACACAATATAATTACACAAATAATTTACATAATTTCAACTTAAGTTTTAAATGGAAAGCGATTGTATGCTTGAATGACTTAAACCCACATCTTCTCTGGATATATTTTGAATGTCAAAACGTGTAATAAACTTTAGAATTCGTTTATAATTTTTTTTATAGATTAAAATAACACGATCATCTAACCTGTGACCAAATCAGAGGACGATTCCTTCGTTTCTATGTTTTTGTGAGAATTGTAAGCAGGTGTAAACAAACAAGATGCTTCTTTAACTAGTGACAGTGCAAAGTTGTACTCATCTTCGTACGCAAACATAGCTACACTGAGTTTAGAGTTGTTATTGTCAGTTTGTTGTTTTGTAACAATGTTACAAAACAACAAAATGTAATGTAATACAATCTCCATTTTTGGATCTTTTCATTTTTTATAACAGGCAAAAATCCAATTTTCGTGGACGGATTGGTTTCAGTATGACGGAGATAATGGAGATAATGATAATAGATTTGATGGATGAAGACAACTTTTTGTAGTAAAATTAGTAACCGATTAGTAACCGATTAGTAACCGATTTAATCACATTTGAATAACATAATCAGCTGTAAACAACACTCCGAGTGTTAGTTCTAAAGATAGGTAGTTGCACAGTGTTAAATGTACATCAGTTAACATCAATTAATTCTGTACATTCACTGGGTGTAGTGAGCAGGAAAGTGTGAGGTGAGCTTATTAACTATTTGAGGAGTTGAGATAAATGGGTAAATGGTAAATTGTGGCGGATTAAGATTAAAGAGATTTACCGTTAATAAAGATTAAAGATGCGTATTTTTTTGGGTTTTTTCAACTTTTGGTAAACGAGCAATTACCATAATATGTGATATAGCTGAGTCATTTTCTTTGCTTCAATTACACCTTCTCTTGCGTCATTTCCGATAATAGTTGTTCTACACGATTTCTATTGCAAAATGCAAATCGAGAAAATGACGCATCATTATGAACAGATATTGTACACTTTAGTAAAGATGTACTTACTGTACACTCTGGTGGTTTTTTGCAGGTGTTGTAATTGTGTGAAAACCCTAACCAATTATCCGTGAATCTTTCACCCAATTAATATCCAAAATCAACTCCTGAACACTATTCAGGGTATTTCATTACAATTCATGGGGAAGAAACAACAAAGTTATTAGAGAAAGTTATATAAGTAAGTCATATAAGTAAGTTATATAAGTAAATTATTAGAGTAAGTTATATAAGTAAGTTATTAGAGTAAGTTATATATAAGTAAGTTATATAAGTAAGTTTACACGCGTTTCACAAGGAAAAAGAGAAACTGTACCTCAATCAGATACTGGGAGGGCGGGACGTAAGTGGAACTGTGCGCTTTCTCTTGTAGGATCTTCCTCTGCTTCACTGCCTGAAAGAAAGAGTGTTAATTATTGAGTTAAATGTTTAAAGACCATGTAAATAAATACCATGTAACTAACTAATTAAATAGTAATTGATTAATAATGTAGCGTTTCGCTAAGAAGTACTGATTGAGACACGGAAAATTGGGTTGTACTTTAGACGTGTATTTTTACAACACTTATAATTTCTTCGGAAGTATGATTTGCAGTGTTGTAATTGAGTTTTAAACTAATTACAACACTACAAATCTATTAAACTTGGACTCTGTAAAAAGTCGTATGGCCGTAAAAAGCAGAAACATGTAGAGTCACAAGTCTCCAACGATATTATTTGGGTTAAATCTTGATATACCATTATTATAGTCTAAAGTTTAATCTGTATTTAATTTATTCATTGGGAAGCTTAGAAATAAATACTAGTATCATGTTAATTACCATGTACAATATACAATGTATTATACATTGATGTACGTCACGTATTATGGTGTTAATATTTGACAAAATTTAAGGCTTCTGCTGTCTTTCAAAATTAAAATAACTATACCATGCATTGTAACAGCTTTACTGTTAGCATGTTAGTATTTTAAATAACTCATGACTAGACAGTACACTACGCGACGTTCCATAGAAAATAATATTTCTATATTTTATTGAAGTAATAAGATCATAATATTATGATCTTAATACTTCAATATGGCAACTTAGTCGTTTGGATAACATCAACATGGGTACTTATAATAAGCAGCACTGTCAATAACCAATGGTGTAAAAGTAATCCCACGAAGAAGTTCAAGTCGATTATTTAAGAAGTTGCCAATAACTCAATATTAGTTGATGTGTCTACGGCTATCATAACGCATCATGTGAAAGTTTATGTCCCGAACAGCTACTCAAATTTCACACCGCTAAAGAATTGTGGTTTTAGTCCGGTATTTCTGTGTAAATTACAAGTTCTGAAATCTTTCCATCACACTGTAATACAATACACTGTATTATATAATGTATACTAAATAATTTATTATATATTATGTACATAATATACTAATAATTATATACTGTAATATACTAATTTAGGTAGTTATCCAGCACAACACAGTCTCTAATATTCTCTAATATTCTAATATTCAGTCTCTAATATTCAGGTACTACTAATGTATTACTAATGTACTACTAATGTACTACTAATGTACTACTAATGTACTACTAATGTACTACTAATGTACTACTAATGTACTACTAATGTACTACTAATGTACTACTAATGTACTACTAATGTACTACTAATGTACTACTAATGTACTACTAATGTACTACTAATGTACCACTAATGTACCACTAATGTACCACTAATGTACCACTAATGTACCACTAATGTACCACTAATGTACCACTAATGTACCACTAATGTACTACTAATGTACTACTAATGTACCACTAATGTACCACTAATGTACCACTAATGTACTACTAATGTACTACTAATGTACTACTAATGTACTACTAATGTACTACTAATGTACTACTAATGTACTACTAATGTACTACTAATGTACTACTAATGTACTACTAATGTACTACTAATGTACTACTAATGTACTACTAATGTACTACTAATGTACTACTAATGTACCACTAATGTACCACTAATGTACCACTAATGTACCACTAATGTACTACTAATGTACTACTAATGTACTACTAATGTACTACTAATGTACCACTAATGTACCACTAATGTACTACTAATGTACTACTAATGTACTACTAATGTACTACTAATGTACTACTAATGTACTACTAATGTACTACTAATGTACTACTAATGTACCACTAATGTACCACTAATGTACCACTAATGTACTACTAATGTACTACTAATGTACTACTAATGTACTACTAATGTACTACTAATGTACTACTAATGTACCACTAATGTACCACTAATGTACCACTAATGTACTACTAATGTACTACTAATGTACCACTAATGTACCACTAATGTACCACTAATGTACTACTAATGTACTACTAATGTACTACTAATGTACTACTAATGTACTACTAATGTACTACTAATGTACTACTAATGTACTACTAATGTACTACTAATGTACTACTAATGTACTATTAATGTACTACTAATGTACTACTAATGTACTACTAATGTACTACTAATGTACTACTAATGTACTACTAATGTACTACTAATGTACTACTAATGTACTACTAATGTACCACTAATGTACTACTAATGTACTACTAATGTACCACTAATGTACCACTAATGTACCACTAATGTACTACTAATGTACCACTAATGTACTACTAATGTACTACTAATAAACTACTAATGTACTACTAATGTACTACTAATGTACTACTAATGTACTACTAATGTACTACTAATGTACTACTAATGTACTACTAATGTACTACTAATGTACTACTAATGTACTACTAATGTACTACTAATGTACTACTAATGTACTACTAATGTACTACTAATGTACTACTAATGTACTACTAATGTACTACTAATGTACTACTAATGTACTACTAATGTACTACTAATGTACTACTAATGTACTACTAATGTACTACTAATGTACTACTAATGTACTACTAATGTACTACTAATGTACTACTAATGTACTACTAATGTACTACTAATGTACTACTAATGTACTACTAATGTACTACTAATGTACTACTAATGTACTACTAATGTACTACTAATGTACTACTAATGTACTACTAATGTACTACTAATGTACTACTAATGTACTACTAATGTACTACTAATGTACTACTAATGTACTACTAATGTACTACTAATGTACTACTAATGTACTACTAATGTACTACTAATGTACTACTAATGTACTACTAATGTACTACTAATATACTACTAATGTACTACTAATGTACTACTAATATACTACTAATGTACTACTAATGTACTACTAATATACTATACTACTAATGTACTACTAATGTACTACTAATGTACTACTAATGTACTACTAATGTACTACTAATGTTAACACGTGACTTACTGCCAGCGCTTGAGCATGATCTTCACCAGACACAGGATTTGGTAGTGAGCCAGGATGCAGGAACTGGGCTGTTTTGGTGATGTGGTTTACGAAATATTCGCCGTACTCATTATTATACACTCGCTCCCATCCTGAAATGTTATTAGGGTCAATTTTATCTGTGTGGTGTTTTTATTGGTGTAAATGTACAGGGTGGGCCAAAAGTCAGTACCCATACGTTGGCCTTAATAGCTCCGCCGTGTTTTATATTTGAGAGCTGTTGCTTTGCAGATGGCATACTGTACTTACTGGTTCGAGGATTCCGTCGTCAAAATTTGAAAATTCGAATATTTTAGACCACACCCATTCAATATTAAAACACCTATATTGTTTTCTCTGAACATGCTGAACGCCTAATTTTTTCAGAGACGGTAGATTATCAAATGTTGCATATGATCTGAAAACATGAGGCAAAACGGATTAGAAATGACGAAGTTATCAAGCATTTTCTGTATCTCGTTAACAATATTGACTGGGTGATTATGTGACACCGTGACACGACACCTTAATTGGGCACCCTTAACAATTCCCATAATGTTCAACGGGGTAGTTAACGGGGGCACCTTATCACGTGATTAGGTAAACCAATCACCTGATCACACGTAATGAATAAACTCGTTATGCTTCATATCTCAGTCATCTGAGAAGCTTAAGTTCTAATTCTTTCAGGACAAACGTAATTCGAATGGCCAAACACAATTCAATAACATTTAGCTTGATCCGACTATCCAAACTATCAAATAAATGTGAAAATGAACCTCCATTTGAAAAAAATGAACGCGAATATTTTTCGAGTTGACAAATTCCTCGAACCAGTGGTGGTA